TAAGGGAAGTTTTCCAATAAAGGACATGGATTTGGTGACATCAAGTATCATCAGAAGGACATTAAATCGGGTACTAGTCAGGAGACTATTAGCGTAATTCAGGTGTTAGTCCAGGTGAGCTGAAACAGAGTCTGGAAAGAAGATCGGACACATTCCAGACACAGAAGGAAGAATTAATGTCTATTTCATAGGAAGGTACCTCCTGTAGTTTATTTGGGGGAAACCTGTCCATTCCTGGTGCACCATGGCAACTTGCCAAGAGGGAAAATCTTTTCAGTGTAGAAGACCAAAGAAGATTGGTCAGATGGCTCAGTGTGGGAAGGCACTAGCCAACGAACTTGATGACCCGGTTGATTCCTGGAATCTACATGGTGGAAGAAGAGAACCAAATTGTCCCCTGAACAAAACACACACACACACACACACACACACACACACACACACACACACAAGCACAAATGTGATGTAATTTAAATACTTTTAAGTTCAATAAAGAATTTGGGACTTATTTTTATGATCATTTGTGAGTAAATTCTTTTTTTTTTTTTTTTTTTTTTTTTCGAGACAGGGTTTCTCTGTGTAGCTTTGCGCCTTTCCTGGGACTCCCTTAGATCCACCTGGCTCTGCCTCCCGAGTGCTGGGATTAAAGGCGTGCGCCACCACCGCCCGGCATTTGTGAGTAAATTCTTAATACCTCCCATTCAGTGTTTTTAAATGTAGTGAAGAGATCACTGTGGGTCTGAGAAAATGAAACATTTCTGATAATTTTGTTGTCAGTCTGATGCAATACCAAGTTAGGTGTTCAATGCCAGGCCGACAGCAGACAGACTTCACAGCACTTCCCTCAGCATCCCCAGGACTGACGTTCCTGTTAGTGTCACTATCCCACAATTCAACATGATTTCCGTTTCTAATCAAGGGAAATTAGCAAGGTCACGCAACTTCCCAAGGCCGCTCACTCAGTAAGAGACAGAATTTGGACCCACATCTTCCCACTTCAAAGCCTGTTCTTTCCCCAGTTGAAGACTATTCAGCACAACTAAGTGAAAGGAGGTTTTTCCTCTTTAAAGAATCAGAATTAAAGGATCAAAATCTTAGGTGTTTGTTCTCTGTAGAGGATCAGAATTTTAGGATATGCAGGGTGTGGTGGTACATGTATTTAATCCCATCACTGGGGAGGCAGAGGCACACCAGTCTCCGAGTTCAAGGCCAGCCTGGTCTACAGAGCTGGTGCCAGGACAGCCAGGGCTACACAGAGAATATCTGTGTAAAAAAAAAAGTAAAGCAGAATTTGAGGGTACAGGCTGATGAGTCCTGGCATTTCCTTAATGTAACAAGTTAAGTCTTTATTTAAGGGATAGAACAATTTGCAATTTTCTTCCATTGGTGGGCAAGGCAGATAATAAAAATGATAGCAAAGGTCATTAAAATTTATGTGGAAACTAGCACAGATCGGAAGAACTACAAAGTGAATTCTTTAAGCACAAGAGAAGGGTGTTTGTTTGTTTGTTTTTTAAGCACAATATGAAAGACAACTCCTTTGGCCTCAGATGCCTAAATATGCCATCAAAAGACTGCCTGATTCTCAAACTCTCAAACGCCAGCTTTTTCCTGATTCCTCTAGAACTTACTCTTCATGTAGAGTATCAAAGCCAGCGGGATGGTAGGTGTCCCAAAATGTCTTAATTCAGAGAATTAGTGTTAACTGAGCCTGATTAGCTCCATTTATCTCTAATTAATTACCTTTATCTAATTAGACACTCTGTTTCCAGTAGACATGGAGTCAAGTAGACTAGATTATTAGTGCAGTCATTGTCCCTTTACAAAATCCTGAAATTAATGAAACGTGCAAAAGAATCTGCAGTTCTAATTGCACAGGTGTTGCCTTATGGCAAAGCTTTATCATCTGATTACACCAAGGGATTATTAGTGACTTTTATATAGAGGACGAGCCTATGAAATGCGCCTTAGCAACAGCTCATTAGTTTAAGGTTGTTACTGTATTATTTATTACATTCAGCCTTCCCCATTATCTAGATTGATTCATGGACCAATATATTTTTCCTCAGTGCAAAAAAAATAAAATAAAATAAAACCATCATTATGAAGAGTCCAGATGCAATGTTGAAAAATGCAAACTGCATTTGTTCGTCAGCTACAATCTGATGTTTTACGACAAAAAGACTCTAAAGTTACATGTGATCAGAGTCAAGTTCACAGTTATTTTCTATGGCAAAGGAACCTGTTAAAATTACTGAGTAATGCGGGAGGATTGGGACATTTGTTTCAAACATTCATGGCTCTCTCAGTGTTTTCACCTAACTGAACTGACATATCGAAGCGGAAAGGAAAAAGCAAATTTTTTTGCATTAAAATATATATTATATAAATATACTTGTATTTATTTTCTCTCTGTATCTTCCCAAAACAGACTGACAAAACATCATCTCTATATGTGTGCATGACAATATTTATAAAAATCCATCTGTTTTATATTTTTGTTTCTTATGGCCAGATTCTGAGGACAGATGGAGAAAACTAACAAATTACATAATCTGGTTTAGCTGAAAACAGCAAAATTTCAGTGCTGGCTTACAAAAGGAAAAGCGCTTTTTCATGGCGAAGTTAGGCGTACATGCACAACTACCACATTTCAGCCTTCAGATGGGTGCCTTTTCTTATAACTGTTGGAAGAAGCACTGTTTCTCACCATCATGGAGTAATTAAGCAGCTAGAAGCAAATCCTGCCAGGATTCCGTCCCAACACATAAACAAGTTTATTGATGACACAGTAATTCCTTTAAATAATTTGTCAACATAAGTATTGTCAAGTGAGGTTTTAGAATCACTTCTCTCCCTGTTGCCCAGCCCCCCTCCTCTATTGCTCTGAGCTGTATACTGCCTGCCTGCCGTTCACTTATTGCTGAACCTAAACTAGTGAAATGATAACGGGTAACTGTTATGTAGAGCATGACAGCTAATTTGAGTAGTAATAATGAATATTTAATGATCCTCCTTTCAAGCATGAACATATAACTTTTCATGTGTGCCTTACTAAAATTATAACCATTAATCTAAAAATTATTGTTGCAACTGAAATAACAGCCAAGAATTATAGATGATAGCCAAGTCAGAATACTGCACAGATCCTCTGTACAAACGCAGTCACACATGTAGACGGCTGCAGTCTTCTGTTCTCATTCAATCCAAGACCTTGCTTTGAAAAGTACAGTTTTGTGATTAGTAGAGTTCTGAGTCTAGCTACAAAAGGCCAGCATTTTAATCAAGAAATAAGCATAAAAGCCAATGACATTTTCACTCCTCCTTAGATTTTGTTTAGACATTAATAATGTCTAAATAAAAATAACATGTATATAAAGATGTGGCCCCATAGATGTAGTATTTTTAGGATGTTCCACCCAAATCAAAGAAAGGGCAAACAAAATTTATCAGAAATTTTATAACATAAATTTCATTTTAAAAAAATAATGTGGGCTGTTTTTCCCAGTATGTACAATATCTACAGAAACCACAGTGTGACTTTGGGAAAAAGAAAATCTGGAAAATGCATGAAGCTCTTTAAAATGGGCTTTGTGCATTGATGGAATTTTTTTAATTACACTTCTAAGTTATATCACTCCTGGTATCTCCATAAGATTTGAATAATTTCATATGCCTGAAATATTGCAGAGAAACATGTCCATCTCCCTTGCTGGTTGGATCTGCTTTCATTGTTACAGGAAAAGTGAACACCAATGCCACTGTGGTTGCAAGTATTGCAGTTCTAGTGAATCTCAGCACATGCTGTAAATGTTTTTAAAAGTGTGGTATGTGCTTACCAAATTCAAGGGGGAAATGGCGTAATAATGTGAGGACAGCACCAAGAAAAACCCCAAGTTTCTCCCTCTGTAATCTTTAATAGACATGCAGTGTCTAACCAGGGTGGTTCACACCGTTAGTTCTAGGATTGTTGTGGGACTGAGCAGGGAGAGCAGAGTTCAAGGCCAGCCCGGATTACACCTCGACGCCTTGTTACGGGGCACAAGGTGAAAAGAGAGAGGAGGGGAGGGGAGGGGGGAAATAAAATCAAGGTCTAGCTGAATGGTGCGCCATGTGGGTACCCAGGCCATCCACATGGTTCTGCCTCTTCAGGACTCCAGTCTAAAGGACAAAGGCAAGTGTGTAGGGACACAATCTCCAGCTGTGTGCGGTCACTGAACACACCCTAACAGAGCAGGCGTCTCAGCCAAAGCCAGGCAAGGGCAGATGAGAAGAGCAGTCACAGACCGCCTTGCAGCAGAGACGGTGCTTCAGCTGTAAGATGGTAACATCCTCAGGTCCCCGTGTGAGAACCTGATGGAGCTTCCTTTCCTCACCTGGCGGCCTTGCTGCTGCTTCCACTCAGAGGTGGTCTTCGTCCGTTTATGGTTTTCTGGCTTGCCATGCTAGGTTTCTCTTCACAGCAGATATTTATAAAGAAATCTACACCAGTTAATTATACCCAAGATAAACAAGTTTATTTTCTTATGTTGCATATACACAGACAATACATTGGTAATGAACATACGTTCAAATATTGAGAAATTCATCTATCTTTTGGTTTGCTGTGTTTTGTGGTTTCTTTACCACATCAAATTTCAGTGGAGGGGCTTTGGGTTAAATTCCCTAGCACCCAGTAGTCCTGAACCAATGTAGAGCATGGTGGAAGGATAAAGGAAGAAATGACAGACAGCAGAGGACAACAGGAAGTGAAGAAAGGGAAGGGGACGCGCTTGTGGACCGTGAGAGGATAGAGCTGAGGCTGGGGGTGTGAACACACAAAACAGCAGTGCTGTACTAAAACGCTGTTTATTTATTAAGCTGGCTGGGAAATGTGAAGGGTAGGCACACAGAATGAAACATGGAACCTAATGTGCCCACATACCCTCTCTTGTTCGAAAGTTGTCTGCAGAGTATGGCAAAGCCGCCTCCTCCTCCTCCTCCTCCTCCTCCTCCTCCTC